AATCGACTACTTTTGCGAAATGATATTTAAATTTCTCTTTTTCTTGTTCTAATAATTCTAAGAATATTATTTTCTTTATCACTATGAAAAACTGAGTATAAAACATTAATTTAAATTAATGTTTTACACTCAGTTTTTCATAGTGATAAAGAAAATAATATTCTTAGAATTGCTAGAACAAGAAAAAGAGAAATTTAAATATCATTTCTCGAAAGTAGTCGATTTTTACATGGACTGATATCATCAAAGTATTTTGATTTTTTTTATATAAAGCAAGAAAAAAAAATTTAAAATACATTTTCTTACACAGTTTGACGAGCTCTATCCAACCATATATAAAACATTGAAAAAAAAAGTTATGCTCAAATTTTGCATTTCCCGCACCTTATTATTTATATGCCCTTATCTTTACTTTAAAACAATTTCCGCCTTTTATAATTCGGATGTCAGTCGTATTCATGAACTGTTAATCTAGTACTGGTGTGATAAGAAAAGAATTTATTTTGCGCGGAAATGTCATGCACAGTTCTATCAAGTGTGGAACTATTGAACGACAGAAATGACTTTGAAGCTTGATAATGCACTATTTACTTGAAATGTAGTGCATATAATTTCATTCCATTTTTGCGTTCATTGTAACTTAATCACATCTATGAATAGACTTATGTTTCTTTCAGTGATAATATGATTTTAAGGACTACGTAATTGGAAAAATAAATGTTTCACATCCTTTTGATCTAAAGATTTTATTATTTTAAAACTTGTTTTTTTTTTATTAGTATCACTGAATAATAGCATTGAAACATAAATAATCTACTCAATCTTAAAGGGGTCTAGTGTACAAGACAGACATTTTTATACAAGAAAAAAGTGCTTAGCAGTGAATTTTTAAAGATCTTCCATTTGTGTTTGAGTTATGGATTTTCGAATTGATTTCGGTTTAGATTGGAAAACGAATTTGATGAGATCACATCAGTTTCGTAATTAATGTAGTTATAAAATATGAATCCCGCTTTTTTTCTCTTGCAAGTTGACATCTATCCATGACTTAAAGCACTTGAGAAGATTGAAATTCCTTCCTGTATACTAATGAGATGTTAATGAGATAAGAGCATCATTATTCTTGTTTTGTTAAGAAGGTTGATATATTTGACATAATTTAATTCTCTTCCTTTATTTAATTTTTAGACTGTGACGTTTCGTATCTCGATGAGATACTTCATCAGACATCAAATTTAAGACAAATGACATGTACATATAAACAATTTTTTTTTCTTTTCTTTGATATTAGTCATACTTTTTAATAATGATACGGAAAACAAGACGGTAATAGTAATAACTAGCTAAGAGTTGAATCCTTTTCCGTATCACTATCAAAAAGTATGATTAAAATCAAAGAAAAGAAAGAAAATTTGTTTATATGTACATGCCATTTGTCTTAAATTTGATGTCTGATGAAGTAACTCATCGAGATACGAAACGTCACAATCTCTAAATTTTAAATTTAAATAAATAAACTATAATATCAAATAAAATTATATTGATTTAAATTTAAAATTAAATAAAATTAAATAAAAGAAGAGAATTAAATTATGTCAAAAAAAGAGCATCGTTAATAAAGTATATATAAACTACTTAAAACATTTATCTAGGAGTATTGATTTAGAATAAATATTTAAAAAATTGTATCAGAATTAAGAAAATACTTTAATGCCTCTGCATGATTGCTAAATAGTTTGCGTTGAATTCTAATTACTACTACTGACATTATTTGATACCGGTTTCGTGAGTATTAGTATGAAAGTCCCTGATATTTTCATGATAAAATTAGTTGAAAACTAATCTCTAAGTCTTAGATTATTCAATTTACTCTTCTACAAAAGTATTCCAACTAAACTTAGTTAATGCATTGATAGGAGTAATCTACCACCTGCATGATTGTCACACCATATTGACTTTATAATTATTTTATACTATGCTAAAATGTATGGAATCAATAAAATAAAACTATCTATATATATTATGAGGAATTTAAAGCAAATTTATGCAATAGTTTTTTCTTTCAGAAAGAAAAACAAATGCCGTTTCATATATCTTATATTACTGACTTTTTATTTAAACAATAGATTACAGAATGTTAATGATCTGCTTTTATCTGAATCTTGGGTCATCATAGAAATGAGAATCATCAATCATGCCATTAAAATAACTGTTCAAAGGTAATTTACATCAAAATATCGGGTGGACCATAAAGTCACTTTGAATATATTTCGGAAAGGATGAAAAGTAAAGACATACAAACAGCTGTAAAAAATAAATATGAAAACGTTGATGGACCAACAAAAATTTACCGTGATTTAGCTGGTGTAGTTTCATTAGGAACCATTAAATCATGGATTCAAATGATCAATCGAAGTGGATCCATCAGTTTATCATATTCTCCCGGTCGTCCACGCACCGCTCGGACGAAAACTAATATCTCAAAGATTAAATGTCGTCTAGCACAGAAGAAACGTGTGTCATCAAGACGATTAGCTGCTGAAATGAATATTTCAAGAACAAGTGCACGACGAATTTTACATGAAGATCTTGGTTATTTTCCATACAAGAAAATAAAACAACCAAAATTAACTGATCTTCAAAAACAAAAGAAGGTGAAATTTGCCAATTGGGTATTAAATCATTATACCAAAGAAGACAACAAAAAATGGCTCTTCACTGATGAAAAGCATTTTGATTTAGATGGTGTGTACAATATCCAGAATGACCGTGTGTGGGCGGTCAGTAGAGAGGAGGCAGATAAACAAGGAGGTATACATCAAAAAACAAAATTTCCAACAAAGGTGATGGTGTGGCTTGAAGTGTGTGGTGAGGGTCTGACAGTAATGGTAATTACCGAGGATGGGACAATGAACGCAGAAAGATGCATGAACGACGTTCTTCCCATCGCTTTAAAATCCAGTTACAAAATGATGGGAAACAACTGGACTTTCCAACAGGATGGAGCTAGACCTCATACACATCATCTAAGTCAAAAATGGTGTGCTGATCGTTTTCCTGAATTTATCCCAAAGGATCGTTGACCACTCAATTCGCCTGATGTATGCCCGCAAAATCACAGTTTATAGGATGAAATAGCTCAATCTATGGACTGGGACAACATAACAACAAAGGCAACATTGATAGACGGAATAAAACATTCGGTCAAAAAAATTGAAAAAGAAAAACTTTTACATTCTGTACTTGATTTTACTGTACGATTACGTCTAATTCAGAAAAATAGAGGAGACTATATTCTTTTATTCTTTAAATAATATATACTGTTTTGTGCAGAATTTCAAGCGCTATCTTTTGATAGAAAAAGATGTTTTAATCATACGGATAATAGAAGAGAAATTTCAAAAATACTGAGAGGTCAGTTCTTTATGGCCCACCCATTGTTTATAAACATTTCCCTTATAATGCTAACTAACCATGGAGGTGTGTGAACTGTTGAGCAAAAAGATTGACTATATTCGAGTCAAAAGAAAGATTTCAGTGAGAAACTAACAAATTTAAAATATGAACTGCGTATGGCTTACCTGGAAAGAAATATTCAATTTTTAAGTTATGCATTGTTACGGTATACAAGCACGATAATATATGAATTAGTTACATTAATCGTTTAATATAATTATCAGATTGTTAAGAAGTGAGTTTCTAAAATCTAGGCAAGATTTATTGACAATATTAAGACCTCTCTAGATATAACTTTCGAAGTTTAACAGTATCCAATTCGATAAGAACAATATTGTGTTTGAATATTGTTCATAAGTAAGATATTCAAAAATCAAGTGCATTGGTGCTTTACTTCATAATTTATTATATATTCCTTTGTAATTGGTCTTCGTAAATATTAATCATTTGCGCATTCGAAGTAAAGTTTTATCTTATTTACCATTACGAGTAACACTTAAAACGATTATTCTTGTCGATTAAGCAGATGAATTTGGTGAACATTGCGAAACATCTTCTCCACTTAACATAAATGGAATTTTTCTTTGAAGATTCAACAATAACTGCGGATGAAATTTTTGCTTCACAACAATTGTTCGAAATTTTAAAAACATTTAAAGATAGTTACTTTAATGAACTATATACTTATCAAAGTCTTGATTTTTATGACGAATATGATGAAGTTTCGAATGAAGAAAATAGCGCTGATGAAAATGAATCAATTGATCAAGAAGAAAATATTGATGATTATGATGAAAATCAATACCTGAACATTCAGAACAGTTTTACATTAGACGAGATGGAAAGCATAGTGGAATGGGTTGATCAACATCCAAATTATAAATTTGCATCTATTAAGCAAAGGTTTCGAAAAGTCAAGTACATGCATTACATTACAAGATTTAGAGAATATATTAAAGCAAACGGCACAAGATTAGAAAAAGTAAAAAAAATCAAACAATTTATGTGGAATGAATTTTATATGAAAAGAGCAATTCAAAAAGAAGCAATTCAAAAAGCAAGAGAACTAGATTGGGATAATTTCAAAGCAAGTAATTCATTTATCAATCTGTTCAAGAAAGAATATGGAATTTCATCCAGAAGATAGAACAAACTTATTACTCATGTTTCTTCGACCAGAAACATTTGTAGTTTGACGGGTATGTAAAAGCTTCACTTGAGACTTCAATCTATTTGTCTTAATACGATATATATGTATATTTGAGATGGTCACGACTGGATCGAAAATCAAAGATCTTTAATTTCAAATTATTCTTCTCATGAAATATTAAACAGTGACCATTGTTCATTTCAACAGGAATATGTTTCTCCACGTACTCTTTCTTTCAAGGGTGAACGAACAACAGAAGTTACTGTTAAAAAAAAGAAGAATATAACGCACTCTTATACCGTCCAGCCTATTACATCAGCTGATGGTCAATTATTAGACAAGTTTTTCCTTATTCTTCAAGAAAAGGAAAATGAATTCGGTAAAAGAGTAGAGAAGGATTTAAATGTTCCACCAAATATCGTAGTACGGACTTCAAAATCTGGAAAAAGCAGCGACGAAAAACATCGCACTTTTTTAAATGAAGTCTTACGTCCTTTGGTTGGCAAAACATTCCTTCTTTTCCTTGATTGTCGGACAAGTCAAGCTGATCTGAAAAAATTTAGAGCAGTATTTCCACATCAAGACAGTCAATTACTGATTTTTCCTAAAGGATCAACTGGTTATATTCAGCCGCAAGATTTATCTTTATTCCATTCATGGCGATTTATTCATGAAAAAATCAAGCATTATGTTCATATCAATCGAACAGAAATGAAATTGAACGATCGTCAATATTTCATAAATATGCACTGTATCATCCACAATCAACTATCTGTGCCACAATTTAAAAATCTTTATCAAGTCTAGATTCGTACAAGCTAAGATACTCAATGAAACAATTGATGAGATAAAGAAATCAAAGAACGTTTGCTTTAAATTCTATGATCTTTATTGTTCAGTTACTAATTTTAAGGAACGAACTCTTTTCGTTGGTGCTTGGTGCGAAAGACACCTTTGCTATTGTCATTTGATTGAAGACCTTCATCTTCATCTACAGTACATCTTTTGAAATATTAATTTGTATAGGTTATTAATTTCATGTAAATAAAGTCGAGACTATCGATGAATCGACAATTTCTATATATAACAATCAATATATTTCCTATTTGGTACTATCAGACTTCAGAGGAAGTTGTATTTAGAGAGGTCTTAATATTGTCAATAAATCTTGCCTAGATTTTAGAAACTCACTTCTTAACAGTCTGATA